AAGATGCAAAAGGTTATGAAGAGGACTCTCTTTCCCAAGAAAGGAAGACTGTTCTTCAACCAAGAGCATAGGTAAGCTTATAGACTCTTTGGTAAAGTGGACACATCCTGCTAGGGGTGAGAAAAATGGTTCCTATCATCTCTTCCAATAAAAAATGTGTGTGAACAACATAGAACCAAAAGACAAGAATAGTTTATACTCTTCATTCTCTCATTCAGTAAATATTAAGCACCTACTGTGTGCCAAGCACTATTCTAGGTGAGAATAGCAGAGAAGAGCAGAGAACAAAGCAGACAAAAATCCTTGCCTTAGTGGAATTTACATTCTAGGGGGTGGAGATGGACAAGAAACAGGTATATAGTACGGAAGGTAGGGAGAGTGCTTTAAAGAAAAATAGAGTGGTGGAGCCTGCTATTTAAGGTGGGTGATAGGGGAGGGTATCCCCAAGGTGAAGACACTTGGGAATATGGAATGTGGAGCAAGCCATCCAGATATTTGGGGGAAGAGAATTCCAAGCAGAGGAAATGGCTAATACAAAGACCTTGAGGTAGGAACATGCTTGGAGTGTGCAAGGAATAGCAAAAAGGCAATAAGTGTGGTTGGAGCAGATTAAGCAAGGAAGAGAGTGGAACCAAATCATATAGGGTCTTTTAGGAGCTTGAATTTTATGCCAAGTGTGATGGAGCCATTGCAAGATATTGATCAGAGGAGTGACATAATCTGACATTCTAAAAGGCTCTCTCTGTGCTGTGTGGGGAACAGACTCTAAGGGGGCAAGAGTGGAAGCAAGAGGCCTAATAGCAGGCTGCTGTAAAGTTGTGGGTGGTTTCGATTTGGGTGGTCATGGTGGTGGTGAAAAAAGGCCCAACAATCTCAACTTCCCTAACAAAGAGTATTTTTAAAGTTATCGCTAGACAAGTAGAGTAAACTTTTTTTTTATCTTGGATGGGAAAATGGCTTAGATGTAAAAAATAAAGAGTAAGAATATTAAGGGCTTCTCTGGGTTGAACAATGTTAAGGCATCCCCTGGGAATCAGTGTTATTTAACATTTCATAAATGATCAAGAAAAAGGAATACTTTGAGACATTTCTAGGTACAAAAATTATACTCTGCTTTCCACATAGGAAAATGTCAAGTCAACAGGGGGCATCTCCTGGAACATTTCTAAAGCTATGTGAATTGGCTGGAAAGTGGCAGGTCACTTGCCAGGTGGACAAGTTTAAGGCAGCTCACATAGGGGGAGACAATTCAGGTGACATCTTTAAGATAATGAACTCTGAACTGCCAGCTGCCACCGAGGAAAGGGATCAGAAGCTGCTGTAGATTAAGCCCTTCAAGACATCAGCTCTCGTAAAATCCAAAATGCCAGTAAAAGTTCTGGTGGTCCAGAGTAAAGACAAAACATCAGTTTCAACAAAAACCTCAGGAAATCCCTTTTGGATCTCAGTATGCAGTGCTAGCCACCGCATCCTAAGAAAAAGAGCCAAAGAAAGGCAGCTTAAAGGATTAAAAGGATAGAGCAGCTTTTGTTTGATGGAGCAAATGCCCATAAAGGTGACCATCTGAGACAAGATAAGATGAAAGTCTATGAAAAGATGAGAAATTCAGAGAAAATTAAAATAGCCCTTTTCATACAATCTCATGATTGTAAAATCAGGGGACAAAAGAAGCTTGAAAATGGAGGTATTTCTGTGTAGAAAGGGGCCATCAGAGGGCATATAAAAGCCCTTCCAGTATGTGGAAGGACTGTGCTAGCAGTAACCAGGAGTGGGGTTGGAGAACGATCAGCCTATCTCATCAGTCCTTCGTTGGGACAAAAACTACTCTGGACTAGGGTGTGCTCCCTGCACCGCCACCGCCCCCCACCCCCCGCCCCACCCGGCCCCACCTCAGTCACTGTGGTATACAACCACAGAAACTCAAAAAGCAAAAAACACCGACAAGACATTAAAAGGATTCAAAATGCTAATATTAAATCTCATTCTGAGTCAAAACTAGGTTGAAAATAAATTCAAGTGTGAAGGATTTATAATTGATTAATAAGGGACATTAAGGATGTTTGAGGGTACATCCTTAATCTTTGTGATTCATGCCTTGGAGATGCGCTATGTCCTCTCAAGAAATGTTACTTTGTAGTCTGAACTGGATAGATAAAATAAGAATATTTCCTAAACAGTTTGTCAGCATCTGGGTTCTCATAGTCAGAAAGTGACAGTTATTGGTTGAAACAGATTTGATCATTTGAATTTCACCTACAGCACAAGTGCTTTAATAGTGATCAATTGCCTGAGGAGAGCGAGGCTCTTGTGAACCAACCGTTACTCACGTGTTGAACAGTTAGCAACTCTGGGCCATCGGGTCAGTATCGATCTTCCTCCACAGATTAAAATATATCAGGGTCCGAACGGAACGGGGGAGGGGAGAAGGTAATAACGAGTGTCGTTGAGTTGGGAGATGTTAAAAATGGGCTGCAACCAACACATGGGCCTTTACTTTTAGGTCAAAGATTTATGTATATAAATATATATGCTCTATCTTTCCAAAAAATAGACTCAGGAACCTCATTACCCCCAAAGAAAACAGCACCCTCTCCTCCTTCCCATAGGTCCCTTTCTTTACCTGCTTCTCCTGCCTGGGTTAAGGAACTTTCAGCCCCGCCTCCCGGCTCGTCCAAGCTCCGCCTGCCCGGTTCACCTGTGTGCCCAGCCCCTGACGTTACCGTTCGGCTTCAGCGGCCTGCAGGATTCCAGCTCCCGATTGGTCTGTCTGACCACAGCCTGCGCAGCCCACCAATGGCAGCGGCGCTGGGTGGGAGGGTGCCCACATCCAAGATGGCGCCCCCGGGAGCTGGGAGAGGGTGACCGGCAGCGGGGAAGCGGCCTGGGCTGGCCCTGCGATTGCGGGGTCCTGGGGGCATCTCGCTGGGTACCCCCCTGGCCAGCCTACAAGGCCTTCCCCGGGCCGGAGCAATGGCCGCCGAGAACAGCAAGCAGTTTTGGAAGAGGAGCGCCAAGCTACCGGGGAGGTGAGCCTAGGACGCTGAGAAGAGGGGATTGGACCAAACCCTTCCAGATCCTAAACCCTAAATCCCGCGGGCCTGGGGCGTCAGCGACCCAAGAAGGCTGGTTTGGGGAACCTGGGCGGGGAGAGCTGGGGCTGCCTGGTGGCGGGAGGACAGCTGTCAGGCAAAGGAGCGGGCACCGAGCTTTGGAGGTGGCTGGGTGTGGGAGCAGAGCCGGGACTGGGGGCGTAGGGCTCTGGAGGGGCTGCCCTCGGCCGGGAGGTGGCCGGAGTTCGGGCATAGGGGACAGTGGAATTGGGTGAATAATCAGTGTCGGTCCTGGACTTGGAAGGCCATCCCCAGAGCTGCTTTTCACTTTAAACAGAACTCCTTCGTGGGGGGAGGGGGTCTCCACCGCGCACAGGTAGTTGTTTGCACGAGGGTGGCCCCTTCCGTCGCTCCCCCAGCTCTGCACGTACGAATTTTTCTCCTGGACTCCCAAAAAAGTTCTGGTGGGAGCGTCTGCGGGGGTACAAGAAAAGTGAGGAAAATTCTTAAGCTCGACCTTACTTTATCTTGAGTTGGCCCTTTCCCGTTAGGAATTATTACAGGGTGACCTAGAATTGAGAATATTTCTTTAGCGTTTTCTAAGGATTTGTTCAACCCCGAGTGACCTCTTCCCCTCTGCCTGGTAATGTACTTCTTGCATTAAATTGTTTAGTAGGAGAACAGACTTTCTAAGTTACTCTCCACTCCCACGATCACCCCCTTTTTGGTGTATGTTGAGTCTCTTAGCAACTGTACATTCGTCAGTCTACTGTTGGTTTATAGTTTAAATCTGTTTGGGGGTAGTCCTAAGGAGTAAAAGGAGTGTTTATTACAGTCTTAAATTTAAGATTTCTGAGAGCCACAGTCTACTTGATAATGAAATTCATGTTTGGTTGTGCCCCACGTGCTACCCTTCCTTATTGATTGATTCAGGGATAATCCTTTAAACCTGTGGGTTTGTTTTTTTTTTTTTTTTTTAAATAGCAAGAGAGAAATGAGGGTCAGTGGTTGCTATACAGCACTCTTATTTTATTTAGGATCCTGTTAGACATCTGGGGATCAGCTTTAAGTAATACAAGGTAATGCACAAATAACTTCAGGTTAAAGTGCTGTGGAATCCCAGTGTTAATACTAATGCTAAAGACTTCTATGTTTTTAGATAGGCACCACTTCCTGCCAACTGATTCTTTTTCCTTCCTGGTCTAGGGAGCTCTCCAGTCTCGCTAACTGCTGTTCTCTGGGGATTTCCATGGTGAGATCATTAAATTTTGACATCTGAAGGTTATAATCAAAACCTATGGGAAAACTGTTAAATCAGGAAGTGGTGTTTGAGATGTGGGACATGGCAAAGTATTTTGTGCCTACTGACTGCTGGTCGTTATTAACAATTTTTGTTTTCATATTTCCTCTTTGGGATTGTAGAAACAGTCATCTTTTTTGCAAAGCACTACTTCTGTGAGATAGGAAGAGCAGTCTTTTCAGTGTCTTCAAGTTTCTGGCTTTTTCATTTTGAAGAGGAATATACAGGAATAGAAGAGAGAACATTTGAGTTCTGAAAGACTTGGATTATTTTGGGACTGTTATCTGTGTGATCAAGGGCAAATGATTTACTTAATCTCTTTAGGCCTCAGTTTCCTTATCTGTGAAATGAGGATAAAAATACTTTCTTAAAGGTTCCTGTGAGGACTGAATTAAACACCGTATTTGTAAAGAACCTAGGACAGTGTTTATTTAGCGCATTATAGTTGCTTGATAAATAGTAGTTATTAGTATTACTGTTATTATTAGAGAAAGTAAACATTTAAAAGAATGTTTCTCTGATCGTTACTCCAGTGCTAGGTATTTATTTTCATTGTTTATCTTAAGGCATTAAAGTGTTGCCAAAATTCATAATAGTACCTTGCTTGTTGAAGAGAAACATTGTTCAGCTGTGTGCTTTTAGCAGGGAAGCCCCAGGAGCTCCTGGTTATGGGAGAAAACTAAAGTTCTTTTAGATAGAACGTGCTTTGATTTAAGGAAAATATTAGGACATTTTCTCAAGAACAGAACTTTTGCATTTGTACTCTTTCAGTCATACTGAAGAAAAACTTTCTCTGGTTGGGGAAATGACACAGATAACTGTGTCTAGGTCCATGGCAACCTAGAAGTGAAACTAGTTTACTCTTTGCAAATTGAAAGGTAAAAATTCAAAGAGATGGCAGATTCCTTTCAGTTTCTTTGATCATGATCCAGCAACCTTAATTACAACAAATAGGAATTTTATGTAGTAAAATAGCCTCAAGTTCAAAATGAATTAAACATCCTTTTGGGGCTTCCCTGGTGGCGCAGTGGTTGAGAGTCCGCCTGCCGATGCAGGGGACACGGGTTCGTGCCCCGGTCCGGGAAGATCCCACATGCTGCAGAGCGGCTGGGCCCGTGAACCATGGCCGCTGAGCCTGCGCGTCCGGAGCCTGTGCTCCGCAATGGGAGAGGCCACAGCAGTGAGAGGCCCGCGTACCACAACAACAACAACAACAACAAACAACATCCTTTTGTAAAATAATAGCTTTATTGAGATAATTCACATATCATAAAAGTTCACCCTTTTCAAGTGTATAATTCAGTGGTATTCAGTATATTCATCTAGAGTATAAATGGTTTTGTGCAACCATAACCACTAATTTCAGAACATTTTCATCACCCCGAGAAGAAACCTCATAGCCATTAGTAGTCATTCCCCATCCCTTCCTCTCTCTGGCCCCTGGCAACCACTAATCTTTCTGTTTCTATGGATTTACCTATTCTGAACATTTCATATAAATGGAATAATGTGATATGAGGCCTTTTGTGCCTGGTTTCTTTTATTAAGTGTAATGTTTTCAGGGCTCATTCATGTTGTGGCATGTATCAGTATTTCATTCCTTTAATGGCTAAATAATATTCCTTGTATGGAAGTACCTCATTTTGTTTATCCATTCATTAGTTGATGGACATTAGGGTTGTTTCTACTTTTTGGCTATTATGAATAATGCTATGAAATTCACGTGCAGGTTTTTGTGTGAAAGTATGTTTTCTATTCTTTTGAGTATATGTAGGAGTGGAATTGCTGGGTCATATGGTAATTTGATGGAATTAAACATCTTTTTTAAGTTCTTTCAGTTATTCATAAGAGCCCCATGTACTTAATACATCAAATGGTCCTTGTGTGGATGCCTGGGAAGACAGGACATAGTATGTACCATGTGGTTAAGAATACAGACTCTGGAAACTTGAAACTAGTAGATAAATAAGTTCTGGAGAGTTAATGGACAGCATAGTGATTATAGTCAACAACACTGTATTATAAACTTCAAAGTAGCTAAGAGACTAGATCTTAATTGTTCTAACCACAAAGAAGAAATGATAATTATGTGACATGATAGACGTGTTAGCCAATGTGACAGTGGTAATCATATTGCAGTACAGTCAGCCCTCAGTGTCTGGGGGGGATTGGTTCCAGGACCCTCTCAGATACCAAAATCTGCAGATGCTCAAGTCCTTTATATGAAATGGCAGTATGGTTGGCCCTCAATATCCGTGGGTTCCATATCCATCCGCAGATTCAGCCAACCGTGGATCAAACTTCGGAGGGCGACTGTAAGTGTACTGAACCAACAGAATGTACATCTTAAACTTACACAATGTTATATGTCAATTATATCTCCAAAAAAGGAGAAAAAACAAAACAGAATGCAAGCTCTGGAACCTGACTGCCTGGTTTCAAATCCCAGCTCTGCCACTTTCTAACTGTGTGACCTTGGGCAGTTACTTAACCTCTTTGTGCCTTAGTTTCCTCATCTATAAAATGGGGACAGACTGTCTACCTTATAAGGCTGTTATGGGGATTAAATGAGATAACGCATAGAAAGTACATAGAAGGTACTCACTAATATTAGCCATTATGAAAATGATGGTTGTGATTACAGTAGCTCCTATTTTTATTTGTTTCTCCTAGTTGCTCTAGTTTCTGAAACTGGAATTGAAAAACTTTGATCAGTGGTGTGTCTGGAGCCCCCAGTGAGCCCTGGGTGGAAAAAAAATACCACCTATTGTTAATTAGGCAGAGGGTTTACGGAGGCACAAAGAAGCCTAATGCAGGGTCTCCGTGGCTGTCAGGTGTTCGTTACCGATGAAGAGTATGATTTTGAGCAGTGGTTCTCAAACTTTAATGAGTCACCTGGAAGGCTCGTTAAAACACAGATTGCCAGGCCCCACTTCCAGAGTTTCTTTTTTTTTTTAATTAATTAATTTTTGGCTGCATTGCGTGTTTGTTCATTGTGGTGCACGGGCTTCTCATTGCAGTGGCTTCTCTTGTTGCGGAGCACAGGCTCTAGGGACGCAGGCTTCAGTAGCTGTGGCTCAAAGGCTCTAGAGCACAGGCTCAGTAGCTGTGGCTCTAGTTGCTCCGCAGCATGTGGGATCTTCCCAGACCAGTCCTCGAACCCATGTCTCCTGCATTGGCAGACAGATTCTTAACCACTGCGCCACCAGGGAAGCCCACTTCCAGAGTTTCTAATTCAGTAGATCTGAGGTGGAACCTGAGAAGTTGAGCTTCTAAGAAGTTCCCAAACGATACCGCTACTGCTAATCTGGGAGCTGCACTTTGAGAACCACTGAGAAAAATAGCCCTGAATTAGATTGAAAGAAACCTGATTCCTAGTGCTGGATGCTTTTGCCGTATGGATACTGAACAATTTTTTTTTTTTTTTTTGGCCACACCACGAGGCATGTGGGATCTTAGTTCCCCAACTAGGGATCGAACGTGGCCCCCTGCAGTAGAAGTGCGGAGTCTTAACCACTGGACCGCCAGGGAAGTCCCTGGATACTGAACAATTAATGCATCTCTGTTTTGCTGTCTAATAGTATCTCTCACGTAACACATCCAAGCAGAACTCTTGATTTCCACATCTGCCCACTCCTGCAAAGGTATTCTGTCCATCTCACTTAATGGCCCATTG